TCACTGAGACTCCCACAGGGTTCAGTGTTAATCAGTGAGACTCCCATAGGGTTGAGTGTTAATCACTGAGACTCCCACAGGGTTCAGTGTTAATCACTGAGACTCCCACAGGGTGCAGTGTTAATCTCTGAGACTCCCACAGGGTTCAGTGTTAATCATTGAGACTCCCACAGGGCTCGGTGTTAATCACTGAGACTCCCACAGGGTTCAGTGTTAATCACTGAGACTCCCATAGGGTTCAGTGTTAATCAGTGAAACTCCCACAGGGTTCAGTGTTAATCAGTGAGACTCCCACAGGGTTCAGTGTTAATCACTGAGACTCCCACAGGGTTCAGTGTTAATCACTGAGACTCCCACAGGGTTCAGTGTTAATCACTGAGACTCCCACAGGGTTCAGTGTTAATTACTGAGACTCCCACAGGGTTCAGTGTTAATTACTGAGACTCCCACAGGGTTCAGTGTTAATCACTGAGACTCCCACAGGGTTCAGTGTTAATCACTGAGACTCCCACAGGGTTCAGTGTTAATCACTGAGACTCCCACAGGGTTCAGTGTTAATCACTGAGACTCCCACAGGGTTCAGTGTTAATCACTGAGACTCCCACAGGGTTCAGTGTTAATCACTGAGACTTCCACAGGGTTCAGTGTTAATCACTGAGACTCCCACAGTGTTCAGTGTTAATCAGTGAGACTCCCACAGGGTTCAGTGTTAATCACTGAGACTCCCACAGGGCTCAGTGTTAATCAGTGAGACTCCCATAGGGTTCAGTGTTAATCACTGAGACTCCCACAGGGTTCAGTGTTAATCACTGAGACTCCAACAGGGTTCAGTGTTAATCAGTGGGACTCCCACAAGGTTCAGTGTTATTCAGTGGGACTCCCACAGGGTTCAGTGTTAATCACTGAGACTCCCGTAGGGTTCAGTGTTAATCACTGAGCCTCCCACAGTGTTCATTGTTAATTACTGAGACTCCCACAGGGTTCAGTGTTAATCACTGAGACTCCCACAGGGTTCAGTGTTAATCACTGAGACTCCCACAGGGTTCAGTGTTAATCACTGAGACTCCCACAGGGTTCAGTGTTAATTACTGAGACTCCCACAGGGTTCAGTGTTAATCACTGAGACTCCCACAGGGATCAGTGTTAATCACTGAGACTCCCACAGGGTTCAGTGTTAATCACTGAGACTCCCATAGGGTTCAGTGTTAATCATTGAGACTCCCACAGGGTTCAGTGTTAATTACTGAGACTCCCACAGGGTTCAGTGTTAATCACTGAGACTCCCACAGGGTTCAGTGTTAATCAGTGAGACTCCCATAGGGTTGAGTGTTAATCACTGAGACTCCCACAGGGTTCAGTGTTAATCACTGAGACTCCCACAGGGTGCAGTGTTAATCTCTGAGACTCCCACAGGGTTCAGTGTTAATCACTGAGACTCCCACAGGGATCAGTGTTAATCACTGAGACTCCCACAGGGTTCAGTGTTAATCACTGAGACTCCCATAGGGTTCAGTGTTAATCACTGAGCCTCCCACAGGGTTCAGTGTTAATTACTGAGACTCCCACAGGGTTCAGTGTTAATCAGTGAGACTCCCATAGGGTTCAGTGTTAATCACTGAGACTCCCACAGGGTTCAGTGTTAATTACTGAGACTCCCACAGGGTTCAGTGTTAATCAATGAGACTCCCACAGGGTTCAGTGTTAATTACTGAGACTCCCACAGGGTTCAGTGTTAATCACTGAGACTCCCACAGGGTTCAGTGTTAATCACTGAGACTCCCACAGGGTTCAGTGTTAATCACTGAGACTCCCACAGGGTTCAGTGTTAATCACTGAGACTCCCACAGGGTTCAGTGTTAATCACTGAGACTCCCACAGGGTTCAGTGTTAATCACTGAGACTTCCACAGGGTTCAGTGTTAATCACTGAGACTCCCACAGGGTTTAGTGTTAATCAGTGAGACTCCCACAGGGTTCAGTGTTAATCACTGAGACTCCCACAGGGTTCAGTGTTAATCACTGAGACTCCCACAGGGTTCAGTGTTAATTACTGAGACTCCCACAGGGTTCAGTGTTAATCACTGAGACTCCCATAGGGTTCAGTGTTAATCACTGAGACTCCCACAGGGTTCAGTGTTAATCACTGAGACTCCCATAGGGTTCAGTGTTAATCACTGAGACTCCCACAGGGTTCAGTGTTAATTACTGAGACTCCCACAGGGTTTAGTGTTAATCACTGAGACTCCCACAGGGTTCAGTGTTAATCACTGAGACTCCCACAGGGTTCAGTGTTAATCAGTGAGACTCCCACAGGGTTCAGTGTTAATCACTGAGACTCCCACAGGGTTCAGTGTTAATCACTGAGACTCCCACAGGGTTCAGTGTTAATCACTGAGACTCCCACAGGGTTCAGTGTTAATCACTGAGACTTCCACAGGGTTCAGTGTTAATCACTGAGACTCCCACAGGGTTTAGTGTTAATCAGTGAGACTCCCACAGGGTTCAGTGTTAATCACTGAGACTCCCACAGGGCTCAGTGTTAATCAGTGAGACTCCCATAGGGTTCAGTGTTAATCACTGAGACTCCCACAGGGTTCAGTGTTAATCACTGAGACTCCAACAGGGTTCAGTGTTAATCACTGAGACTCCCACAAGGTTCAGTGTTAATCACTGAGACTCCCACAGGGTTCAGTGTTAATCACTGAGACTCCCATAGGGTTCAGTGTTAATCAATGAGACTCCCACAGTGTTCATTGTTAATCAGTGAGACTCCCACAGGGTTCAGTGTTAATCACTGAGACTCCCACAGGGTTCAGTGTTAATCACTGAGACTCCCACAGGGTTCAGTGTTAATCACTGAGACTCCCACAGGGTTCAGTGTTAATTACTGAGACTCCCACAGGGTTCAGTGTTAATCACTGAGACTCCCACAGGGATCAGTGTTAATCACTGAGACTCCCACAGGGTTCAGTGTTAATCACTGAGACTCCCATAGGGTTCAGTGTTAATCACTGAGACTCCCACAGGGTTCAGTGTTAATTACTGAGACTCCCACAGGGTTCAGTGTTAATCACTGAGACTCCCACAGGGTTCAGTGTTAATCAGTGAGACTCCCATAGGGTTGAGTGTTAATCACTGAGACTCCCACAGGGTTCAGTGTTAATCACTGAGACTCCCACAGGGTGCAGTGTTAATCACTGAGACTCCCACAGGGTTCAGTGTTAATCACTGAGACTCCCACAGGGATCAGTGTTAATCACTGAGACTCCCACAGGGTTCAGTGTTAATCACTGAGACTCCCATAGGGTTCAGTGTTAATCACTGAGCCTCCCACAGGGTTCAGTGTTAATTACTGAGACTCCCACAGGGTTCAGTGTTAATCACTGAGACTCCCATAGGGTTCAGTGTTAATCACTGAGACTCCCACAGGGTTCAGTGTTAAAAAGTGAGACTCCCACAGGGTTCAGTGTTAATCAGTGAGACTCCCACAGGGTTCAGTGTTAATTACTGAGACTCCCACAGGGTTCAGTGTTAATCACTGAGACTCCCACAGGGTTCAGTGTTAATCACTGAGACTCCCACAGGGTTCAGTGTTAATCACTGAGACTCCCACAGGGTTCAGTGTTAATCACTGAGACTCCCACAGGGTTCAGTGTTAATCACTGAGACTCCCACAGGGTTCAGTGTTAATCACTGAGACTTCCACAGGGTTCAGTGTTAATCACTGAGACTCCCACAGGGTTTAGTGTTAATCAGTGAGACTCCCACAGGGTTCAGTGTTAATCACTGAGACTCCCACAGGGTTCAGTGTTAATCACTGAGACTCCCACAGGGTTCAGTGTTAATTACTGAGACTCCCACAGGGTTCAGTGTTAATCACTGAGACTCCCATAGGGTTCAGTGTTAATCACTGAGACTCCCACAGGGTTCAGTGTTAATCACTGAGACTCCCACAGGGTTCAGTGTTAATCACTGAGACTCCCACAGGGTTCAGTGTTAATCACTGAGACTCCCACAGGGTTCAGTGTTAATCAGTGAGACTCCCACAGGGTTCAGAGTTAATCACTGAGACTCCCACAGGGTGAAGTGTTAATCACTGAGACTCCCACAGGGTTAAGTGTTAATCACTGAGACTCCCACAGGGTTCAGTGTTAATCACTGAGACTCCCACAGGGTTCAGTGTTAATCACTGAGACTCCCACAGGGTTCAGTGTTAATCACTGAGACTCCCACAGGGTTCAGTGTTAATCACTGAGACTCCCACAGGGTTCAGTGTTAATCACTGAGACTCCCACAGGGTTCAGTGTTAATCACTGAGACTCCCACAGGGTTCAGTGTTAATCAGTGAGACTCCCACAGGGTTCAGTGTTAATCAGTGAGACTCCCACAGGGTTCAGTGTTAATCTCTGAGACTCCCACAGGGTTCAGTGTTAATCACTGAGACTCCCACAGGGTTCAGTATTAATCAGTGAGACTCCCATAGGGTTCAGTGTTAATCACTGAGCCTCCCACAGGGTTCAGTGTTAATTACTGAGACTCCCACAGGGTTCAGTGTTAATCACTGAGACTCCCACAGGGTTCAGTGTTAATCACTGAGACTCCCACAGGGTTCAGTGTTAATTACTGAGACTCCCACAGGGTTCAGTGTTAATCACTGAGACTCCCACAGGGTTCAGTGTTAATCACTGAGACTCCCACAGGGTTCAGTGTTAATCACTGAGACTCCCACAGGGTTCAGTGTTAATTACTGAGACTCCCACAGGGTTCAGTGTTAATCACTGAGACTCCCACAGGGTTCAGTGTTAATCACTGAGACTCCCACAGGGTTCAGTGTTAATCACTGAGACTCCCACAGGGTTCAGTGTTAATCACTGAGACTCCCACAGGGTTCAGTGTTAATCACTGAGGCTCCCACAGGGTTCAGTGTTAATCACTGAGACTCCCACAGGGTTCAGTGTTAATCTCTGAGACTCCCACAGACCGAGAGGCTGCCCTGCTTACCCGCTATCTCTCCGTGCTGCCGCTCCCTTTTCCTTTTTTTCCGCTTCCCCTGGGATGTGCAGAGAGAGAAAGAGAGAGTCAGAATATTTATACAGTCGTACAGTGGGTGGGTGAGTGGGTGGGTGAGTGGGTGGGTGAGTGGGTGGGTGGATGAGTGGGTGGGTGAGTGGGTGGGTGAGTGGGTGGGTGAGTGGGTGGGTGAGTGGGTGGGTGAGTGGGTGGGTGAGTGGGTGGGTGGGTGAGTGAGTGGGTGGATGAGTGGGTGAGTGGGTGGGTGAGTGGGTGGGTGGGTGAGTGGGTAAGTGGGTGGGTGGGTGAGTGGGTGGGTGAGTGAGTGGGTGGGTGGGTAGGTGAGTGGGTAAGTGGATGAGTGAATGAGTGGGTGAGTGGGTGGGTGGGTGAGTGGGTGGGTGGGTGAGTGGGTGGGTAAGTGGGTCGGTGGGTGAGTGGGTGGGTGGGCTCCGGTTTAACAACAGTCGAGCGGCAATATATTTTCATCGTTTGCGTAACGCTGCGTGGAAGCTACCTGGTCTGTCGCTCCGCACTAAGCTTCAGGACTTCTCGGCCACGGTCATTCCCTCCCTTCTCTACGCTTGTGAAACGTAGACCCCCTAAATGGAACATCTTCGCCGGTTGGAAACATTTAGGCTGGCCTGCCTACGATCCATCCTGGGTTTAACCAGACTGGATTGTGTGAGGAGCTCACAAATCCTTGAAAGATCTGGGCAAGGTCCCATCGGTGAGCTCCTCCGGCGGGGAAGGTTGCGATGGCTGGGTCATGTAGCCCTCATGCCCAGCCACCGCATGCCGAAACAGCTTTTGTTTGGCTGGATCGAGGGGGCTAAACGGGCACGGCACGGGTTAGAGAAGAGATGGAGTGATGTGGTACAGGAGGACGTGGAGCTGAGTGGACTTGCCGATGACTGGTACCAGCAGTGTTAAGATCGGCCTCTGTGGAGGAGGCTCGTGAAGGACGCTACTGGGCAGTTGGAGGCAGTCGCCCTCCAACAACAACAGAGGGCAGAGGAGTGACGCTCACAACAACGAGTGGAGCGCCGGGTTGGCACAGAAGGGGGCACAGGTGGTGCATCAGCCGGTCATCTCAGTCATCTTAGTCAATCAACCTGTGGCACCTGGGTCTGCCCCGTGACCTCCTGCCAGCGGGCGTTCGACACTTCACGTGGCCTCAAGGTGCACATGGCCTGGCACAAGCGTCGTGGTGACGTCACCGCCACTTAGTGGAGAATGGCGGTTGTTGTTGTTGTGTGTCACTGTGTGTGCGTGTGTGTGTGTCACTGTTTGTGGGTGTGTCACTGTGTGTGGGTGTCACTGTGTGTGTGTCACTGTGTGTGTGTGTCACTGTGTGTGTGTAACTGTGTCACTGTGAGTGTGGCGAATGTGGCAAATGGCGGTTGTTATTGTTGTTGTGTGTGTGTATCTACGTGTGTGTCTAGGTATGAGTGTGTGTATATCTACGTGTGTGTGTATATCTACGTGTGTGTGTGTATCTACGTGTGTGTGTGTATCTACGTGTGTGTGTGTATCTACATGTGTGTATGTGTAGCTACGTGTGTGTGTGTATCTACGTGTGTGTGTGTATATACGTGTGTGTGTGTAGCTACGTGTGTGTGTGTATCTACGTGTGCGTGTGTGTGCGTGTATCTACGTGTGTGTGTATGTAGCTACGTGTGTGTGTAGCAACGTGTGTGTGTGTGTCTACGTGTGTGTGTGCGTGTATCTACGTGTGTGTGTCTACGTGTGTGTGTGTCTACGTGTGCGTGTGTGTGTGTATCTACGTGTGTGTGTGTGTATCTACGTGTGTGTGCGTGTATCTACGTGTGTGTGTCTACGTGTGTGTGTGTGTATCTACGTGTGTGTGTGTGTGTGTGCGTGTATCTACGTGTGTGTGCGTGTATCTACGTGTGTGTGTGTATCTGTGTGTGTGTGTGTGTATCTACGTGTGTGTGTGTATCTACGTGTGTGTGTATCTACGTGTGTGTGTGTAGCTACGTGTGTGTGTGTGTGTGTATCTACGTGTGTGTGTGTATCTACGTGTGTGTGTGTGTATCTACGTGTGTGTGTGTGCGTGTGTGTGTCTACGTGTGTGTGTGTGTGTGTATCTACGTGTGTGTGTATCTACGTGTGTGTATCTACGTGTGTGTGTACCTACGTGTGTGTGTGTGTGCGTGAATCTACGTGTGTGTGTGCGCGTGTATCTACGTGTGTGTGTGTGCGTGTATCTACGTGTGTGTGTGTATCTACGTGTGTGTGTGTATCTACGTGTGTGTGTATCTACGTGTGTGTGTGTATCCACGTGTGTGTGTGTATCTACGTGTGTGTGTGTGCGTGTATCTACGTGTGTGTGTGTATCTACGTGTGTGTGTGTATCTACGTGTGTGTGTGTATCTACGTGTGTGTGTGTGCGTGTATCTACGTGTGTGTGTGTATCTACGTGTGTGTGTGTGTCTGTGTGTGTGTGTGTATCTACGTGTGTGTGTATCTACGTGTGTGTGTGTGCGTGTATCTACGTGTGTGTGTGTGTATCTACGTGTGTGTGTGTATATCCACGTGTGTGTGTGTATCTACGTGTGTGTGTCTATGTGTGTGTGTGTATCTACGTGTGTGTGTGTGTATCCACGTGTGTGTGTGTGTCTACGTGTGTGTGTGTGTCTACGTGTGTGTGTCTATGTGTGTGTGTGTGTGTCTATGTGTGTGTGTGTGTATCTACGTGTGTGTGCGTGCGTGCGTTACGTAGTTGTCCCGTGCGGACCAGCCGGGGTACAGCTGCATGTGTAGCTGCCTCTCCTTGCGTGCAAGCTCGTAGTAGCGGGCCTGCTGCTCACGTGTCAGAGCGTGCCACTGCAACACAGACACACAGAGATACATACAGATACATACACACAGATGCATACAGATACATACACACAGACACACATACACACAGACACAGATACATACATACACACATAGACACACACACAGATACATACACACACACATACAGACACATACACACAGACACAGATACACATACAGATAGATACATACACACACAGACACACACACATACATACAGACACACATACAGACACATACACACAGATACATACAGACACACACACAGAGATACATACAGATACATACATACACAGAGAGATACAAACAGATACATACACACAGATACATACACACATACACACAGACACAGATACATACATACACACACAGACACACACACAGATACATACACACACACATACAGACACATACACACAGACACAGATACACATACAGATAGATACATACACACACAGACACACACACACACAGATACATACACACACACAGACACAGATACACAGACACACATACACACACAGACACACACACAGAGATACATACAGACACATACATACAGACACACAGATACATACAGACACACACACAGATACATACAGACACACAGACAGACATACACACACACACACAGAGATACATACAGACACACACACACAGATACATACAGACACACACAGAGATACATACAGACACACAGACAGACACACACACACAGATACATACAGACACACACACACACAGATACAGACACACACAGAGATACATACAGACACAGACAGACACACACACACAGAGATACATACAGACACACATACAGACACATACAGACACACATACAGACACATACATACACACACAGATACATACACACAGACACAGATACACATACAGATACATACATACACACACAGAGATACATACAGACACACATACAGACACATACATACACACACAGACACACACACACATACAGATACATACACACACAGAGAGATACATACAGACACACACACAGACACATACACACAGACACACACACAGAGATACATACAGACACACACACACAGATACATACAGACACACATACAGACACATACACACAGACACAGATACACATACAGATACATACATACACACACAGACACACAGATACATACAGACACATATACAGACACATACACACAGACACAGATACACATACAGATACATACATACACACAGACACACACACACAGATACATACAGACACATATACAGACACACAAACACAGATACACATACAGATACATACATACACACAACCACACAGAGATACATACAGACACACATACAGATACATACAGACACACATACAGACACATACACACAGACACACAAACAGATACATACATACACACACAGACACACACACACATAGATACATACAGACACACACAGAGATACATACAGACACAGATACACATACAGATACATACATACACACACAGACACACACACAGAGATACATACAGACACATATACAGACACATACACACAGACACAGATACACATACAGATACATACATATACACACAGATACACATACAGATACATACATACACCCACACAAACACAGAGATACATACAGACACACATACAGACACATACATACAGACACACATACAGATACATACATACACACAGACACACACACAGATACATACAGACACACATACAGACAGACACAGATACACATACAGATACATACACACACAGACACACACACACAGATACATACAGACACATATACAGACACATACATACAGACACAGATACACAGTGAGGGAAAAAAGTATTTGATCCCCTGCTGATTTTGTACGTTTGCCCTCTGACAAAGGAATGATCAGTCTATAATTTTAATGGCAGGTTTATTTGGACAGTGAGATACAGAATAACAACAACAAGAAAATCCAGAAAAACGCATGTCCAAAATGTTATAAATTGATTTGCATTTTAATGAGGGGAATAAGTATTTGACCCCCTCTCAATAAGAAAGATTTCTGGCTCCCAGGTGTCTTTTATACAGGTAACGAGCTGAGATTAGGAGCACACTCTTAAAGGGAGTGCTCCTAATCTCAGCTTGTTACCTGTATAAAAGACACCTGTCCACAGAAGCAATCAATCAATCAGATTCCAAACTCTCCACCATGGCCAAGACCAAAGAGCTCTCCAAGGATGTCAGGGACAAGATTGTAGACCTACACAAGGCTGAAATGGTCTACAAAACCATTGCCAAGCAGCTTGGTGAGAAGGTGACAACAGTTGGTGCGATTATTCGCAAATGGAAGAAACACAAAAGAACTGTCAATCTCCCTCGGCCTGGGGCTCCATGCAAGATCTCACCTCGTGGAGTTACAATGATCATGAGGACGGTGAGGAATCAGCCCAGAACTACACGGGAGGATCTTGTCAATGATCTCAAGGCAGCTGGGACCATAGTCACCAAGAAAACAATTGGTAACACACTACGCCGTGAAGGACTGAAATCCTGCAGTGCCCGCAAGGTCCCCCTGCTCAAGAAAGCACATACATGCCCGTCTGAAGTTTGCCAATTAACATCTGAATGATTCAGAGGACAACTGGGTGAAAGTGTTGGTCAGATGAGACCAAAATGGAGCTCTTTGGCATCAACTCAACTCGCCGTGTTTAGAGGAGGAGGAATGCTGCCTATGACCCCAACAACACCATCCCCACCGTCAAATATAGAAGTGGAAACATTATGCTTTGGGGGTGTTTTTCTGCTAAGGGGACAGGACAACTTCACCGCATCAAAGGGACGATGGACAGGGCCATGTACCATCAAATTTTGGGTGAGAACCTCCTTCCCTCAGCCAGGGCATTGAAAATGGGTCGTGGATGGGTATTCCAGCATGACAATGACCCAAAACACACGGCTAAGGCAACAAAGGAGTGGCTCAAGAAGAAGCACATTAAGGTCCTGGAGTGGCCTAGCCAGTCTCCAGACCTTAATCCCATAGAAAATATGTGAAGGGAGCTGAAGGTTCAAGTTGCCAAACGTCAGCCTCGAAACCTTAATGACTTGGAGAAGATCTGCAAAGGGGAGTGGGACAAAATCCCTCCTGAGATGTGTGCAAACCTGGTGGCCAACTACAAGAAACGTCTGACCTCTGTGATTGCCAACAAGGGTTTTGCCACCAAGTACTAAGCCATGTTTTGCAGAGGGGTCAAATACTTATTTCCCTCGTTAAAATGCGAATCAATTTATAACATTTTTGACATGCGTTTTTCTGGATTTTGTTGTTGTTATTCTGTCTCTCACTGTTCAAATAAACCTACCATTAAAATTATAGACTGATCATTTCTTTGTCAGTGGGCAAACGTACAAAATCAGCAGGGGATCAAATGCTTTTTTCCCTCAATGTACAGAGATACATACACACAGGTACACACACACAGACACACACACATACAGACACACACTCACACATACAAATACAGATACACACACATACAGACAACAAAATCAAAGATCCCCCATATAGCCTTAACAGACTGTAGGGGCAAGTGCTGTTAGCGAGCACCTATGAAGGCCGGAACGGTACACGAGGGGGTGGGTGGCCAGCACCACGCCCGACCGCCTTTGTCTCCCCAGTGGCGATGTTTACACACCGCACCAGGTACTCATTTGAGGCTCAGTCGACCTAGGGGAGGTCCGGGACCGGTTCAGATAATCGTCACTGGTGTTGTCCGTGAGCGGGAATCGAACCCGGGTCGCCAGGTTCATAGCGCAGCGTAGCGCTAACCGCTACACTACCACTCCCCCACACACTCACTCACTCACACATACACAGACATACACTCACACACAGACACACACACATACAGACACACACACACATAGACACAGGTACACACTCACACACAGATGCACACAGAGATACACACTGAGATACGCACACAGATACACAGATTAAAGATTCCCCATGTAGCCTCCAGCAGGCTGTAGAGGCAAGTGGCTGTTAATGAGCACCGTACAGCAGACACCACACTCACTGTATGTGCGTATGCACCATACATAACTGACCGTGCTAATCGGTGGACTCCCTCACCTCCCTCACTACCATCTACCCACCCAGCTACCCACCCATCTACCCACCCACCCACTCACTTACCCACCCACCCATCTACCCATTCACTTACCCACCCAGCCATCTACCCATTCACTTACCCACCCATCTACCCACTCACTTACCCACCCACCCATCTACCCATTCACCCACCCACCCATCTACCCACTCACTTACCCACCCACCCATCTACCCATTCACCCACCCACCCACCCATCTACCCATTCACTTACCCACTCACCCACCCACCCTTCCACCCACCCACCCACCCACCCATCTACCCATTCACTCACCTATCCACCAATTTACCCACCCACACACCCTGCCACCCACCCACCCAACCACCCTGCCACCCACCCACCCTGCCACCCACCCACCCACCCACCCACCCTGCCACCCACCCACCCTGCCACCAACCCACCCACCCTGCCACCCACCCACCCACCCTGCCACCCACCCACCCACCCTGCCACCCACCCACCCACCCTGCCACCCACCCACCCTGCCACCCACCCACCCACCCACCCTGCCACCCACCCACCCTGCCACCAACCCACCCACCCTGCCACCCACCCACCCACCCTGCCACCCACCCACCCTGCCACCCACCCATCTACCCACCCACCCACCCTGCCACCCACCCACCCACCCTACCACCCACCCACCCACCCACCCTGCCACCCACCCACCCACCCACCCTGCCACCCACCCACCCTGCCACCCACCCACCCACCCACCCTGCCACCTACCCACCCACCCACTCACCCACCCACCCACCCACCCTGCCACCCACCCACCCACCCACCCTGCCACCCACCCACCCTGCCACCCACCCACCCACCCACCCTGCCACCCACCCACCCACCCACTCACCCACACACCCACACACCCTGCCACCCACCCACCCTGCCACCCACCCACCCACCCACCCACTCACCCACACACCCTGCCACCCACCCACCCTGCCACCCACCCGCCCACCCACCCTGCGCCCCAGGATCTGGTTGATGGCGGCGCTCTCCTTCAGCGTGCACTCTGCGATGACTCTCCCCCGCGTCTCCTTCATGTACAGCATGAAGGCGTTGAGCGGCTTCTTCACGTGGCACCGTTGGTGGGGGGGTGGCTGCTGCTGTGGGGGGCGCTGTGGGGGGGCCTGTGGGGGGGGGCGGCCCCCTACCAAGCGCCCCCTCGCCCCCATCCCTCCCGCGGGGACCCCCAGGCGGGACGATGGCGACCGAGCGGTGGAGGTGACGGGAGGGTGGGCCGTCACCTCCACCAACACAGCCACCACCACCACCACCACCGTCACCACAGCCACCACCACCACTACCACCGTCACCACCAACACAGCCACCACCACCACCACCACCACAGCCACCAACACCACCACCGCCACCGTCACCACCAACGCAGCCACCACCACTGCCACAGCTACCACCACCACCACCACCAACACCACCACCACAGCCACCACCACCACCACCGCCACCGCGGGAGGGAGTGGCAGAATGGGAGGCCGTCAGATCCATCGTGCGTCTGTGGGGCGGGAGAGGGGAGGGGGAGAAAAGGAGTGGGTGGGTGAGTGAGTGGGTGGGTGAGTGGGTGGGTGGGTGAGTGGGTGAGTGGGTGGGTGAGTGGGTGAGTGGGTGAGTGAGTGAGTGAGTGGGTGAGTGAGTGGGTGTCTGAGTGGGTGAGTGAGTGAGTGGGTGAGTGAGTGGGTGAGTGGGTGAGTGGGTGTCTGAGTGAGTTAGTGGGTGGGTGAGTGAGTGAGTGAGTGGGTGAGTGAGTGAGTGGGTGTCTGAGTGGGTGGGTGGGTGAGTGGGTGGGTGGGTGAGTGAGTGGGTGAGTGGGTGAGTGAGTGGGTGGGTGGGTGAGTGGGTGGGTGGGTGAGTGGGTGGGTGAGTGAGTGGGTGAGTGAGTGAGTGGGTGGGTGATGGAGTGAGTGAGTGGGTGAGTGAGTGAGTGAGTGGGTGGGTGGGTGAGTGAGTGAGTGAGTGGGTGGGTGAGTGAGTGGGTGGGTGAGTGGGTGAGTGAGTGGGTGAGTGGGTGAGTGAGTGGGTGGGTGGGTGAGTGAGTGGGTGAGTGGGTGAGTGAGTGGGTGGGTGGGTGAGTGGGTGGGTGGGTGGGTGAGTGGGTGTCTGAGTGAGTGAGTGAGTGGGTGAGTGAGTGAGTGGGTGAGTGAGTGAGTGTCTGAGTGGGTGAGTGAGTGAGTGAGTGGGTGTCTGAGTGAGTGAGTGGGTGTCTGAGTGGGTGAGTGAGTGAGTGAGTGGGTGTCTGAGTGGGTGAGTGAGTGAGTGGGTGTCTGAGTGAGTGAGTGAGTGGGTGAGTGGGTGTCTGAGTGGGTGAGTGAGTGAGTGGGTGTCTGAGTGGGTGAGTGGGTGTCTGAGTGAGTGGGTGAGTGAGTGAGTGAGTGGGTGGGTGAGTGGGTGTCTGAGTGAGTGGGTGAGTGAGTGAGTGGGTGTCTGCGTCTGTCTCTCTGCGTGTCCCACGTGTCTCTGTCTCTCTGCCCGTCCCCGCACGAGCGGCTGGCTGCGGTGACGATGGCCGTGCGAGGGTTTGCCAGCGTGGAGGGCGTCGTGACAGCAGCAGCAGCAGCAGCAGGCACCAGCTGCGGAGAGTAACTGGCATAGTGGGGAGAGTGGGGGGGGGGAGAGTGGGGGGGGGGGGGAGAGTGGGGGGGGGGTGGGGAGAGTGGGGGGGGGGGGAGTGAGATGGGACAGATGGGGATTAGTCCACTCTGCTGTGCTGGGGATACGGATCATCAACCACCGCTACCACCACCACCACCACCACATCCACCACCGCTACCACCGCCACCGCTACCATCACCACCTCCACCGCCACTCCACCACCACCTCCACCACCACCACCTCCACCACCTCCACCACCACCTCTACCACCACCACCACCACCTCTACCACCACCACCTCCACCACCACCACCACCACCACCTCCACCACCACCTCTACCACCACCACCTCCACCACCACCACCTCCACCACCTCCACCACCACCACCTCCACCACCTCCACCACCACCACCTCCACCACCACCTCCACCACCACCACCGCATGAGTGACACACAGAGGGCTGTGTGAGGCTTCCCTGCTTGAGGGTTCTCACCGTCCGAGCGGGGAGCTGATGGAGTTGATGGCGATGGCCGTTTGGTACGGGTGGCGGAAACCAGCGGCACCCAGAGGGTAGAGGGGCTGACCCTGCCTAGACACAGACACACAGAGAGATATACACACAGATATACACACACACACACAGATATACACACAGACACACATAGAGAGATATACACACAGACACACACACACACAGATATACACACAGACACACACAGATATACACACAGACACACACACAGACATATACAGACACACACACACACAGATATACACACTGACACACACACAGATATACACACAGATATACACACACAGACACACACACAGATATACACAAAGAAACACACAGATATACACACAGACACACACAGATATATACACACACACAAAGATATACACACACTAGCGTACACACCCACACAGACACACACAGATATAAATACACCCACTCACACACAGCTACACTCACACAAACACACAGATATACGTAAAGATATACACCCACTCACCCACCCATCCACCCACTCACCCACCCACCCCCTCACCCACCCATCCACCCACTCACCCACCCACCCACTCACCCACCCACCCACCCACTCACCCACCCACCCACCCACTCACCCACCCACTCACCCACCCACCAACCCAGTCACCCACCCACTCACTCGCCCGCCCGCCCACCCACCCGCTCACCCACCCACCCACCCGCTCACCCACCCACCCACCCGCTCACCCACCCACCCACCCGCTCACCCACCCACCCACCCGCTCACCCACCCACCCACCCGCTCACCCACCCACCCACCCACCCGCTCACCCACCCACCCACCCACTCACCCACCCACCCACCCGCTCACCCACCTACCCGCTCACCCACCAACCCGCTCACCCACCAACCCGCTCACCCACCAACCCGCTCACCCACCCGCCCGCCCACCCATTCGCCCACCCACCCACCCACTCATTCGCCCACCCACTCACCCATCCACTCACTCACCCACCCACCCATCAACTCGCTCGCTCGCCCGCCCACCCACCCACTCGCTCGCCCACCCACCCACTCGCTCGCCCACCCACTCGCTCGCCCACCCACCCATTCGCCCGCCCACCTACCCAGCCACTCGCCCACTCACTCACCCACTCACCCACTCACCCACCCACCCACTCACCCACCCACCCACGCACTCACCCACCCATCCACTCACGCACCCACCCACTCACCCACCCACCCACCCACTAACCCACCCACCCACTCACCCACCCACTCACACACCCACCCACCCACTCACTCACACACCCACCCACCCACTCACCCACTCACCCACCCACTCACCCAGTGTGTCCCACTTACTGGTTGAAGACCCATCCGAAGGGGTGAGCGATGGGTCGAGGTGAGAGTGGGTGGTGGTGGTGGTGGTACTGGGAGAGGTCTCCTCCTCCATAGCCACCACGCACAGTCACTGAGTACACAAAGACAACAGTGTCTGTGTGTGTGTGTCTGTGTGTCTGTGTGTGTCTGTGTGTGTGTGTGTGTCTGTGTGTGTGTCTGTGTGTGTGTCTGTGTGTGTCTGTGTGTGTGTGTCTGTGTGTGTGTCTGTGTGTGTCTGTGTGTGTGTGTGAGTGTCTGTGTGTGTGTGTGTGTCTGTGTGTGTGTGTCTGTGTGTGTGTGTCTGTGTGTGTGTCTGTGTGTGTGTGTCTGTGTGTGTGTCTGTGTGTGTGTGTCTGTGTGTGTGTCTGTGTGTGTCTGCGTGTGTGTCTGCGTGTGTGTCTGTGTGTGTCTGTGTGTGTGTGTCTGTGTGTGTGTCTGTGTGTGTGTCTGTGTGTGTGTCTGTGTGTGTGTCTGTGTGTGTGTCTGTGTGTGTGTCTGTGTATGTGTGTCTGTGTGTGTGTCTGTGTGTGTGTCTGTGTGTGTGTCTGTGTGTGTGTCTGTGTGTCTGTGTGTGTGTCTGTGTGTGTGTGTGTGTGTCTGTGTGTCTGTGTGTGTGTCTGTGTGTGTGTCTGTGTGTGTGTCTGTGTGTGTGTGTGTCTGTGTGTGTGTCTGTGTGTGTCTGTGTGTGTGTCTGTGTGTGTGTCTGTGTGTGTGTGTGTCTGTGTGTGTGTGTCTGTCTGTGTGTCTGTGTGTGTGTCACTCCGTGTCTCCCTGTGTGTGTCTGTGTGTGTCTGTGTGTGTGTGTCTGTGTGTGTCTGTGTGTCTGTGTGTGTGTCTGTGTGTGTGTCTGTGTGTGTGTCTGTGTGTGTGTCTCCCTGTGTGTGTCTGTGTGTGTGTCCCTGTGTGTGTCTGTGTGTGTGTCACTCCATGTCTCACTGTGTGTGTCTGTGTGTGTGTGTCTGTGTGTGTCAGTCGGTGTGTGTGTCTGTGTGTGTCTGTGTGTGTCTGTGTGTGTCTGTGTGTGTCTGTGTGTGTCTGTGTGTGTGTCTGTGTGTGTGTCTGTGTGTGTGTCCCTGTGTGTGTCTGTGTGTGTGTCACTCCATGTCTCCCTGTGTGTGTCTGTGTGTGTGTGTCTGTGTGTGTCAGTCGGTGTGTGTGTCTGTGTGTGTCTGTGTGTGTGTCTGTGTGTGTCTGTGTGTGTGTGTGTCTGTGTGTGTGTTACTCCGTGTCTCCGTGTGTGTGTCTGTGTGTGTGTCTTTGTGTGTGTGTCAGTCGGTGTGTGTGTCTGTGTGTGTCTGTATGTGTCTGTGTGTGTGTCTGTGTGTGTGTCTGTGTGTGTGTGTTTGTGTGTGTCTGTGTGTGTGTCTGTGTGTGTGTCCCTGTGTGTGTCCCTGTGTGTGTCTGTGTGTGTGTGTGTCTGTGTGTGTGTCTGTGTGTGTGTCTGTGTGTGTCTGTGTGTGTCTGTGTGTGTGTCTCCCTGTGTGTGTCTCTGTGTGTCTGTGTGTGTGTCTGTGTGTGTGTGTCTGTGTGTGTGTCACTCCGTGTCTCCCTGTGTGTGTCTGTGTGTGTATGTGTGTCTGTGTGTGTGTCTGTGTGTGTGTGTGTCACTCCGTGTCTCCCTGTGTGTGTCTGTGTGTGTCTGTGTGTGTGTCTGTGTGTGTCTGTGTGTCTGTCTGTGTGTGTGTGTGTCACTCCGTGTCTCCCTGTGTGTGTCTGTGTGTGTGCGTGTGTTTGTGTGTGTGTCAGTCGGTGTGTGTGTCTGTGTGTGTCTCTGTGTGTGTGTCAC